TTTATAAGTAAGCTAAACGGAATAATACCGACTTTATTATAAAGAATAAGTTATTATTTTATTATAAATAACTTATAATACTAGAGAAATAGTTATATATAAATTTAATTCATAAGGCTTATAACTAAGTCTCTATAGTATATTCTAGTAAAAATAAGATATATAAGCTATTATAGCTATAATATTACTAGAAGAATATATAATATAATATTACTTAATATATCCGTAACTATTAACTATATAAATAGGCAAATATTCCAAGAAATAAGATCTCTGGTTTATTTTACTTTTTACTAGTTCCGGATTACTTATAATAATATATTATAATGGATTTCAAGTTAATACCTGGCTGGAAATCCGGCTATAATACTATATATATTATAATTAACTAATTAAATAAATAAGCTATTTCTATATCTTATTATAAGATAATTATAATAAAGAATATAGTAAAGATATATCTCCGAACTATTTACTATTACTATAGCCCTTTAGCCTTTATTATTTCTAATTATAGTTCGTAATTTATATTAGTATTCTGGAAGGAATTTAATAGAATTCTGGATATAAAGCTAAAGCTATTAATAGTATATTACCTATAAACTAATAAATAGACAGAAATTATAAACTAATATATTAATTAATAATTATACCTATATATTATATATTACTAAGATAACTAGAATAAGTATTTACTAATAATTAATTATATTTAACTTATTCTTTTATATAGCTCTATTAGTATATCTCTATATAAACTTTTTAATAGTAGGCTTTTATAAACCTCTTTTAACTAGTTAATTCTAATAACTATATCCCAAGACAAGCTAAGTAAGATAAAGGCTTAATAGATTACTAGATAGATAGAGAATACTATAAAGAAAGGTAAGGAGAATATAAAATAGATATAAAGAAGAATAGAGAAATATACTAATATTAAATATTGCCTTATAGATTTCAAAGTAGGAGATAAGGTATATATATTAATAAAGAAATAGAAAATATAATACCCTAGTTATAAGCTAGACTATTAAATGGCCGGGTTTTATCCGATTTTATATTAAGTTAGTAACTTCTATAAAATTGAACTATCTAAAAGTATTAAAATTCATAATATATTTTCTCCAGACTATCTATATAAGGCTACCAACAATCTACTACCTGGCCAGAAAAACAAACTACCTTTACTAATTCAAGTAATAATAGACCGAGAATACAAAATATAGGATATTCTAGTATTAAAAGCAGAGCAGGGAAAGCTTCTATATAGGATTAGTTAAGTAGAGTATAATAAAGATCTTAACTAGTATCCGGCTTCTAATCTGAAATACTTTCCTTATAAGCTATAAGACTACTACTTGGCTAATTAATAATAGCCAGGCCTACTAAAGAAGCTAGTCGACTGGATATAAGCCTGAAAGAATAGAACAGAGAACTATAATAATTTGAATAATAATTTTATAATACCTATTTACTTGAGGACAAGCTTTTTCCAAGGGGGGAGAGGTAATATTACGATTTCACGCTTTACCTAGCCTGGTATCTAAGTCTGGCATCTGGTATCTGAGCTTAGTATCTGGGGTTATATAACAGTCGCATGTAACGAAGCTAAAGGAAGCTATACTCTGGGAAATTTAGGATACTAAGCCCTATTAGGCCGAGCTATAAGCAAAGAACTATAAATACTTAAGGGACCTTAGCTCGAGACTTTTTTTCCTTCTTAACTTAGTTTTCTTAATAAATAGTTCTCCTATAAGTGCCTCATTTATAGACTTCCTTTATAGGTCTATAATATATAAGATACTAAGATTAATACTTATATATCCTTAATATTTTGGCCTTAGGCTTAAGATATTATAATAGCCTTTTTTCTTTTCTAATTTACTAAACTAATAATTCGCCTTACAGATATTTCTTAGAACTTTATAAAAGTATTACCTTAATTATAAAGTTTTAATCTTCCCTATATTACTTATTATAAAATATATAAGAAAGAAATTATAATAAGATAAAAACCTATATAAAGTATACTAGAATATAAAATATAACTTAATAGTAAAATAATGAATTAAAAATATAAATAGTAAAGTATAAATAGTATATAGTATATAAAAGCTTAATTAATTAAATACTTAAAAGGAATTATTCTCTAGAACTATAGAAAAACTAGCTTTTTTATATAATTTCTGCAAGTTATATATAAAAGGCTATAGCCTTTATTATATAACTTAAATCTTAAAACCGCTAAAATAATATGATTTTTAGAAAGTATAGCCTGCTATATTATATTATATATAATATATTACTAAAATTAAAGGAAAAAAGAATAATAAAAGTAATAAAAACGAACTAGAAAATAATACTTTTTAAGCTTTATTAGTAGAAATAAATAAAGGAAAAAAATATTATTTAGATTTTTTTTTTCTATTAAGAGCTTTTTAGCTACTTTTATTACTCCCGCTTCTATTATTCCTATAACTAATATCTTTATAAATAATCTTATTTCCCTTTTATAATAGCTAGTATTATATAATTAGTTTTAGCTAAGGTTCTAAGCTATAATTCAAACCAAGCTTGCTTCTAAAGCTCGGCGTTTTAGTAATCTTGGCTATACTTACTTATTTACTACTATACCTCACTCCTGTCTTCCTTAGCTTTAAATTCTCAAGATATAGGAAATTATTAATCTTTAAGCCTTATTCTATTACTTTATTCCTGTTATTATATCTTTTCCTTATATATTAAATAATAAGTAAAAACTATATTTTAAAGCTTATTAAATAAATAGAAAATATCCCCATATTTGTAATTAATAATATATTGAAATATAATATTTATTACTTTTATAAAATTATAATTAATACTAGAGCTTTCAGATTCTTAATTATTAGTTTTAACTAATTTCAAGCTTTATAATAAACTAATAATAATATTAAACTTAATAAAACTATTAAAAGTTAAGGTAATATCTAATTTAGTATTAGATCTATATTTTCTATTAGATCTATAATAATAAAAATACTAATTAAATAAATAATTATTTCATATTATATTTATAAAGACTTTATTTCTATTTAGCTTAGCTAATATAAATAAACTAGAAATCTATTTCAATAATTTTATTAATTATTTTATTACTTCTATTAAATGCTTTATATTTATAATATAATATTTTGAATATTCTTTCTTGCTTTAAAATACTATACTATAAAGCTTTATTTCCAAATCCTTTATTTATAACTCCTGCCTTTTTATAAAGATTAAATTATAATATCTATATTATTATTTTAGTTATTTATTTATTAGTAAACTCCGAAATATATTAGAATAAATAAGCTATAATATTAATATAGAAGCCCTTAAATACTTTATAAAATACTATAAATAATACTAGAAATTCGGATAATTACTAGAATAATTCAAGTTTAATCTAAGAAATAATATTAGTTTTAATTATTTTATTATTATTAATATTTTCTATATTTCTAGTAAGCCTATATTTTATATTATTAATAAAAGTATTTAATATTAAGCCGGCTAATATCTTTAAAATATTAGTATATTATATATATAAAATACTCTAAAGTAATATTAGATCAATATTTATTTAAACTCTTTTAATTAGATTATAGTAAATATTAGAAAGTAGTTTACTAATAAGAAATTTATTTAACTTATAAATACTATAGAAATTAAGATTAAAATTATTCCTATAAAAGCTTATAATTTTATTAGAATTATAAAATACTATTATAACCTAATTTAATATATTTATCTTATTATTATAATTGAAATTAATAGAATTAATAAGAATATTATATTTCAAATAGCTTTTAAGGCTATTAATAATTTTATAGAATCTAATAATATTATTCTAACTCTTTTGGTTTATAATACTTTACTTTAAATAACTGAATATAATACTTTATTACTAATTAGTAGTATTTAAGAAAGTAATAATAGAAATTCAGAAGCTTTAAGCTAGATACTAGATTATAAATATTCTAAATACTCGAAATAGTTCTAGTATTACTAATATCTATAAACTTCTCTTAAATTCGGATATTTTTATATAATATAAAGAAAATATTAATTAATCTAATAGTTAGAATAGATTACATAAGCTAGTAGCTATTAATAGAAAGAATTATATACTAGCTCTATTATATAATAATACTACTTTCTATTTAACCTCTATAAAACCCTTTTATATAAGAGATATTAAGGTTATTACTAATAGCTTTAAACCTAAACCTGTTCCCGAACTATATAATAAAGCTAAAGATAATACAAGTATAATTTCTCTTATTATTCCTGCCATTTTACTAAAGTATAATAGAGAATACTTTTATAAGATCTCAGATATTATAATATTTCTATAAGATAATAACTTATATAAGAACTTTTATTAAATTAAAGTTACTAGCCTTTTAGAAAAGAATATATTTGAAATTATTTCCAGATCTTAAATACTAAAAGAGGTATTTATTTTTAACTCCCGGTTTATTAAAGAGATTAAGAATAAGAATACGGAAAAAGAGTTTAAGAAGTTGAGACTAGTTATCTAAGCTTATAATAATAGTAAGAAATATATAGTATTAATATAATTATTTATTATTTAATATATTAGCTAATATGCAACAAAACTTTGAAATGTGTTAGTGAAAGATGTTGATTAGAAGGGCAAAGTCACAGTGAGGGCCTCCTACGATTTTGCGATGTGCAACAACAAAAAACAAAAACACCTTCTCGAAGCTCACCGCCCTAATTTTTTACGGCTTATAATGTAACAATCTAGAGTCCTTGAGCCATGCCCGGACTCATGGAAACGCCAGTCAGTCAAGTCGAAGAACACAGATCAAAACATCCCTGACTCAATTCGTGTGCAAGAATGGCTGACGGGATTAGATGATAAATATTATGAAAGCATTAGATGTAAGCTATTAATTACCTGCTGTCGCTATTTCCTGGCACAGTGGATCAACCCCTCAACCTGAGAATCATACACATACAGCGACCCCATGCTCTTCCGCGGGAATATTTTGAATATCAGGATAGTCTTTCCACTTTCTTAATTCCTTCTCGAGCTTCCCTAATTCCATCATACGCATCTCTAATACCACTTTCTCTTGCTTCGCTACACCATCCGCCCCCTCCTTCAACCTCCTCACCTCTTTGCTCACCACCTTCCTTCCTGCATTCTCCCCGTTCTCAGTCACCTTGTTCTTCTCAACCGGCTTCCCCCAGCCCTTTAACCCCGAACTCTTATACCGCATTTCTTCTTCCTCGGATCTCAGCACGACTGTTTCATGAATAAACTCCGCCGTCTCCGGCCAGAAACCGGGCCGGACTTTCGATAACGCTTTGTACTCCATTGGCGTCCGGGGGGTGCGGCCGACGATGGGGGCCCACCGCCAAAGGTTGCGAATATATCTTAGGCTGGCGAATTCGTAGCTATCGTGTCGGTATCCATATGCCCACCTTTTGTTGCCGGAGTTCTCTCCCACTGAAGGGACCTTAAAGGGGTTGGGCTTATCGCATACGCATACCTTCTTAATGTAATCTTCATCGAACTCCAGGATTTTTGCTTCGGCGCACTGGTCCACCATCCACAAGAGAGTGATGTCTGCGAGGTCGTGCCTCAAATACCCTCCGCCAATGTCGCTGTGGTCGCCGGCGAACCAGACTTGGTTGAGATTTGGCTGGGCGGCTTCCCCCTCCAGATCATATAGGAACCAGAGGGTCGGCTTGAAGGGACCGCGTTTTTCGTCGAGGGAGAGGGCGTGGAAGGCGTGTTTGATTCCTACACGCGTGGGGTGTTTATTTTAGCAAAGTCCTAGTCCATCTCTTTTGAAAGAAAATGAAGATACTGTGCTTCTTCAGCAGACCAACAAGAAAGCACTCACCACGAGGAAGCGCCATATTATGAAACGTATAATCCTCCCCCCACACGTGATTTCCCACAACTTCCTCGAATCCTACCGTATCAAAGCATCCAATTGCCACAACATTAACCTTTTCCTTGTGTAGGTACTTGTCCTCAATAAATTGATCCCGTCCCTTTTCGACCTCTTTCTTCCATTCTTCATACTCCTTCGGATCCTTGTTCTCGCGTTTCTTCTTCTTATAGAAGTCCCCAATGATTGTAGGGAATTCGTCCATGCCTAGTTCAGTGAGAATACCGAGGCGGCAGACAAGCTCACAGATACTCCGCGCCGTGTAGCCCCTTGGGAAATCTCATACGTTAGAAGATTTGAAAAATCAGGAAGAAAGACGGGCATAGGCACAAACCCACCCCCTCGAGAACCCAAAAAAGAATATCTCATCACCAGGCCGATAATTATGTGCCAAAAACCCATACGCCTCCCTCACATGCCGCAGAAGTCCCCACCCGAATACACCTTATTTGAATCAATGCATTAGCTTCCAAACTTAAAAGGGATTGTCTCTCCCAAACATACCACCACCAAATTGCTCTGTCCGAATCGTCCCCACGCCCGCCTGATAGAATACAATCTGTTCGATCCCACCATCCGTCTTCGTCTTAATTGCCCTCGCCAACGTCGATATATTCGTCCGGAGTTTGGAACGGCTTTCAACAACCTTGAAGGCGTCCTGTGACGTGCCTGCATGTAGGCAATTTGCATTTTAGTATTACACTGATAGGTAGTTGGTTTGGCGGAGGGACCTTGGCATACATACCGTCGCAGCAAATTATGAGTCTACGGGTAGGGTTAGGGATGGAGTCGGAGGCCATAACGCATAAAACTTTTGCTTCTTTCTCTGGAAGGTTTCGCGGATGGAGAGGGATTTGGGATTACTTGAAAATATCGTGGTTTTTCAGGTGAGATGCTCTCTGCGCAGACCCGTTTCGACACGTCAGAGTCTGTTCGACATGCGAGAGTGCAACACTTTATACATTCCCCAAGTGGTGTGCGTGTTCTCGAGCACGTGTTTTATCTCGTTGGTGACAAGTAGTCGCGCCGCCTCCACACCCTTGAGTATCCGTACTTCATCGAATAGGTGTCTCATTCGACAATCCTATTTGCCATCTCGCTTCCTCCACACGTGCGGCTGAGCACTTGGCACACCATGAGGCTTAGATCACCAGACAGATATTGCTTTTGCGACGGCTAGGGTTTCCAGCTTTGACACCGCCTTGCAGTTCTTAAAAAAAAAAAGTAAAGGTCCCATATCCATCAATCAGCAGCTCTATCTTTGCTATGGCCACCAATCCCCACACTTATAGCCCTAAGCCACATCCATGCAGAGTGCGGTGGCCTCGGAGTTTACCGTGAGTTATAATTGTAGCAGAGCTATGATTTGTCAAGACTCATGTCGCAACAGTTGGGGAGTCCAAGACGGCATTTCCAGAGGGAGTGTATTATCTTTGTCCACTCATCGCGCTTCAATCCCTGGAGGTGGCAGAGGCCGCGTGGTCCACCCATGGTATACGGATTAGAATGGCTGATGGACACTGGTGCACGTGATGATGATTTGGCTCATCTTCCTTTAGCTGAAGGAAAACATCGACTTCTCCTATACTCAATTTACTGTACTCGCTGCGCTTGAAACGAATTGGGGACGAACTAAATCGGCTTTGATGTGCTAGAAATGGAAGGAAAGCCTAAAAAGATTAAGATAATTGTGAATGTACACTGTTTGGTGACTATTTACTTTTTGGTGAACGCTTAGTGAGTAATGACCGTTTATTCTATGGTGAGTGTTTAGTGTTCAGTGAGTCCTTACTAGGGGGTGTCTATTTATTCTGTGGTGAATATTCATTATTAAGTGAGTACTCACTGTCTGGTGGGTGTTTACTACAAAGTTAACTTTTAACATACAATTTGCGTTTTATGCTATATTACGACATAAACAAGTGAAAATGCCAAATAATCTCCATATCACGTGCTTATCTAATTTCCAGCCAACCAAATGCCACAAACTCGTAACGTCCACTTCGCACGCCGGGGCTCTGAGCTACGGCGCTCAGAAAAAGGGAAAGTAATATGTGCTCACGTGAATACGTGCCAAAAACTAAACCCTTTTGGGAAGGCTTGGCAAAGGCTTGCTGTGCACAGCGTAATCCGTCTACCAAGGCGCCCACCGGGCCTCGCGGCGGCGGGAAAGTTAAACCCTTTCATTTCGTTTCAGGGCATATAACTTTAGCTAGATTAAAATCTTGATAACTTCCAATAGTATATACTCTAAAGGGAAGTCGCAAGATAAAAGAATCAATAAGGGAAAACTTTGGGTGGGGGCCGGAGGTCGACCTTATAGACTATCGCCACGTGATTCTTGAAGTGCTGTAATGGGGATATAAAACAAGTAGTAATATAGATAGTAGAATGGGCTTCCACAGCGTGGGATCACAGCGAACGAGTGAGAGGTGAAATTAGAGAGTGAAGGTTGGTTTATTTCTAAGAACTAAGAAGGAGAGAGGGGTAATATAAGCGGACTGCGGACTGTACGGATGTCCGGAGGTCACATGACAGAACCACGTGACCAGGGGATAAAATCCCCACCACAGTGCTATACGCCGTTAAGCGATAATCCCTTAGCCTTACAGATAGGGTAGTGGCAAATAATCTGCTACTTTGCTAGTATCCCGCATAAGTGAATATTCTTAATATAGCCTCACATATGCGAAACCCGGCAAAATCTATGCATTTGCTGCTTATATGTGAGGTGTTTGTTGGTAGGCAATAAGACAATAGAATGAATCAGTGTGTTGTGAAACCACAGTGTTAAATTCAGTACAGAACTAATCTCTGTCCCTCCTCTGAGGTCCAGGGAAGCCCCCTCTAAATAGGAGGCCCCGATGACGTACATACAATTAGTGATTTATAAGCCTAATGCTTATGATGTAAACAGTGGTTGGTTGTGACGTCGAAGGGCCTTCGATCTCCCTGATCGACACCCGCGACATCCGAGGTTCGTCACATGCCCTTAAGTCACGTGCGACACTACACATATCACATTATACGAGAGCGCCTCGTTACTAATATAGAATATATACTAAGTCTTTTCGCAAATGAGGGGAAACTTACTAGCTAGTAGGAAGGGATCGAGAGCAAGAGTGAGAGCAAGAATAAGAGCGAGAGATTCTTCCTTGAAAGAATTCTTACAAGCTGGGGTCGATTGCTACTAGCGAGTCATAAGCTCTTTTCGCGAGGCGAGCGTAATCTAAAGATTAATGGCATAGATTTTTCAAGTAATAATAGCTTGAAAACTCAAGTCTTTAGAGAGATTACAAAGAACTAACTATAATTATATCCGTTTTTCGAGCTAATACTCGATAATAGGCTCGGCTTCTTTCTCAATTATAGTCTTATTTAGTGACTTATTTAATTACTTCTTTATTATCTTATTATAAATATAGAAAAAGTAATTCTTTTTATATTTGGCCTCGGGCTTGTTTTTAAGGCTCTTTATTATAGCCTTAAGCTACTAGCCGAGTTTCTTATATACCTCTCTAATTTCTTTAAGTACTTAATTAATAAACTTATACTTTTATTTAATCCGAATATATAATTCTTTAAATTATTACTTAAGAATAATAATCTCTGGATTTATAGCAAGAAGTTACTTTATTATTTCTCGAGAAATTTCTTTTAAAATACTAGAGTTATATTAAATACTTATATATATAAAGGCCCGAATTAGTCTATTATTAGTAATATTACTCTCGAAATAAGCGTCTTATATATTAAATCTAATTAACTAATTATTATATATCTTATTAAAAACTCTTATAAAGAAATTATATTTTATAACTTAATTTTCTATAATATTTAAAGTCTTATCTAAAATAAATTATTAGTTTTAAGAAAGTTAATAAAATAATATAAAATACAAATTATTAATTATATTAATATAACTTATTAGCTTGTTTTTAAAGCCCGTATTTCTTTTAGAATAATTTAAATAAAAGATATAATTTAAATATATTATAGATTTAATTTTTATTTTTATTTAGCTATTTATAATTTAAATTAATCTTTAAAAAAACTAGCCGCTTAAGCTATTTCGGCTTTTAATAAACTTTTATTATTTTTATATTTCAATTTCCTAAATTTGTAATAAAAAAAGGCTTAAGAAATATATAATTATTAATAAGAATTAAATTAGCTAAGATTCGAGATATCTTATAAAAATAATATATAATTTGGATTTATTATTTATTTCTTTATATTCTTTATTATAATAATATTTATATTATTATTATTATTATTATTATTATTATTATTATTATTATTATTATTATTATTATTATTATTATTATTATTATTATTATTATTATTATTCTTTTACTAGTTTTTTTTCTTTTATTAAAGAAATCTTTACTAGCTTTGTCTTTTAATAAATAAATAAACTTTACTAATTAATTACTATTAGTAATATATAATAGTATTATATAAATATAGAAATACTAGTTATATAAAATTAGTAAAGTTATTATTATTTAAAAGTAAGAATTATAATTATCGGTTTACTAGAAATATATAATATAATATATAATATATATAAAATACTCGATATATAAGTTAGTAAAGTTATTATTATTTAGAAGTAAGAATTATAGTATTATAGTATTAATATATAATCCCTAAATTTGCTAAACCTAATAGAGACTAGCTACCAGTCGAGTTACTAATAAAATGCAAGGTTATATAACTATATCTTATTACTTATATCCCGTATCCTATATCCTGTAACTATATATATAACTCCTAAAGAAATAGCTATACTAATACTAGAAACTCTCTAAAAAATACAAAAAACAGAAAATAGTACTCTTTTCTAATTATATACAAATTCCCTAATCCGGCCTAGTACCAGATCTCCCAAATACTTTATATACCTATATTGCTTTTAAGGTTTTAGTTATATACTAAAGGCCGTGGCCTTTTATATATAACTTCCTTTCTTATAATATCCTCTCATCCTATATATCTATTCCCTACTCTATTTGCATTTAATCTATTCCTCTATATCTAATTATATTATATTCGTATTAATAAGGCACGTGAGGGCATTTAATAGCTTTGATTTTATTATAGAGTTAGCAGAATTCGATTCTCTTTTAATTTACTTAATTTCTGTAATCTCTTATTATTTATATATTTAGTAGAAATATATTATATTAATTATTAGGCATTTCTCTTAAGTAATACCCAATTTAATAAGGCATTTATATAATAACTTCGAATCCGTATAAATAACTAGTAATAGTTCTATTTCTAGTACTTTATTAATTATAGATTTAACTAAAATACTTATATTAAAACTATAAGCTATACTATAGAGTTCTGAAGCTAGAATACTTCTAGTAACTCTTTTATATTTAGTAGAGAACTAGTAAATAATATTAGTATATCTAGTTCTATTTACTAGAACTAGAATATATCTAATTTAAAAAAAGAAATCTCTATTATTTATAAATAAAGTATTTATAAAAATAATTAAATATAAGAACTCTTTTACTAGCTTTACGAATTTTAGTTCTCTAGTAATATTCTTAATTTATTATTAAATGCGCTTATTAAGTACCTTTATATTAGTTTCCGAAAGTTTAATAGCTTAAATAGTAATTAATAGGTTATATAAAGCTTCTAGTTAATAGGCTAATATAATATATACTTCTCTAGTATATTAGGTAATATATTAGTTCTTAATAGAGAGATTTTAATAAATAGTACTTCTATTACTTATAGTAGTAATATTTTTTATAGAAATAGTTTAAAGATTTTTATA